AACCAAACAACAAAACAAAAAAAATTTATATTTATATATTTTATATTTATAGCTATATTCCTGTGTTTATGTATATTTTATTATTATTATTTACTATGTACTGCACACTGTGGGTCAGTATGCTAGATACTGAGGATACCATGGTAAGAAAAACACCCTGACCCAACCCCAATGAACACTGCATGGACTTGTGGGGAAAACTGACATAATGAAACACACCATCATATAGTTACAAACAAGTTATGCCCTAAAAACTCTAAATAGCTCTACAACATAACTTATGTAAAAATTTTGAAATGTACAGAAAATTAGGAAGAAATGATCCCACCATTCATAAGTAAATACACTAAAAACACTAGCACTTTGTCTTTTTAAAAATTATAATATATGGCTTTATAAGTAAGGATGTATTTCCTTTGGCATGACAATGGAAAATAGTGTTTTCAAAGAATATAGTAGCTAAACTATTAATTTATAAAGCATTGAGACTTCAGGAAAAAAGGTAACTAAAAAGGCATGCGTTAATCATAGGAAATACATTTGGGCTTTTTTTCTTTACTTTCTCCCTTCTTTTGATTTACAAACAGAATATGTTTTTGGCCATCATCAATGATACTTACTCGGAAGTGAAATCTGATTTGGCCCAGCAGAAAGCTGAAATGGAACTCTCAGATCTTATCAGAAAGGTAGGCTAATCTCTATTTCTCAAAATATTTTTTACTTCCTACCTAAAATAATGATTATTTCAGCCAAATTTCCAAGACACCATTAATCTACTGACATCGTTTAAAAGAAATAGTAGATTGCTGTACTTCAAGAATAATTTCAAAATTATCTGTTTGGAGGCTCGGTGGATATGTTGGTAGCTCAGACTTAATTCTAGAATCCTTTTATGACCTGAATCTGGTGCTCAATAACCCTGTGACTTTAGAGCTGAGTACCTGTCTGTGCTTTGAGGCCTCCCCTATTGACTGTCACTTCCAAGATCCTGAGTGCAGAAAAAACTGGAAGATTATATATAAAGATGCATCTAACTCACCTACCTCCTTCAAAATTACCACTTTAAAAACTTTTTGAGGAAAATGCAGTCATTTACATTGGACCTTCGAGGACAGTTATAAAATAGCTGAAGGAGAAAGTCCCTGGAAGGGAGTCCACAGCCTGGGGCCTGAGAACATCTCTTCTTCCTCCCTTCTCAGGAGGTGTTTGTTAAACAGAGGGAAGGACAGTAAAGTGGGATGGCTTTGGTCTTCTCAGTGTACCTTTACTGTTTGGTTTAGAGTAAAAGTTGCACAAGAAGTAAGGAACGTAAGGTACACAGCATCGTGTTGGTGAGACCCATTGGCACCTTCACTCTGGTTTCTGTTATCACCAGGCTCCTGCCGTGTAGTCTGTGGATCCTATGTAAGTGAAAACTTCAGCTTACAGCAGAGCTCCTTGGAAGGACGTAACATTCATATGATCTTGAGTTCTGCACCACAGTGGGCTACGTTTTAGTCAAGCTCCGCTGTGTGTGTCACACTCCACATGATATGGTTTTGAGATACACCAAGCTCAGTTAACCTGGCTTTGTTTATCAGTATCAGGCCTTAACAACAGGGTTCAAATTGAGCTCTGAGGGCAGATAACCTGTGAGTAATATAGGACACAGTACAGACTCCATCCCAGGCTCTTCAGTCTATACATCATCCGTCACCAGGGTAACAGACATGCATCCCATTGAGTGGCCAGTGTTACATTGCTCTCAGTCAGGTGTTGACTTGTCCTTGGACATGTGGAGTTCACGCAGAGTGTAGTTTTGCTTCTTGTTGGTCAATAATGAACCTTGTGACATTTTACACAAATGCATAATTGAAAAATAGAACTGGCCAGCTAAGAGGAAAGTACATCAAAGAGACAAAAGATGATACTGGAAGTGAAATCAAACCAGACAACATGGATTTATAGAAGAAACCGCTAACTGTGGGAATGTTGACACTGCCCCCATTTTAGAGGTCCAGGAAAACAGAACTTAAGTGAGAATTAACTTACCAATGTAAATGAGGACAGCACTTGTGGCGAAAAAAATGATGTCTTGGAGGAAGGGAAACAAACCAAAACTTTCATTTTAAAAAAACACCAGAGAAATTTAACAGTAATTAATGTACACAAGAAAAATGCTGTGGGCTAATCTATAATGAGAATGAATGTCACCATCCCTAACACATGGTAGATACACTCAGTTCACACATCCAGGACATGATGAAATACACTGAGGAGGGGAGCACTGTCTCTGCTTGGGATATGCTCTCTACAAAGGAAGTACTTTACATATTTGTAATGCTTTAAGTTTCTGTGTACTAAAAAAATTAGGTTCATTCCTATTTCTCTCTAAATCTATAACTGAAACCAAGGGAGTTTTTGTTTTGACTAAAGGTTTTGAAGGTTACAAGACAGTTGAAATTTTTTCAGTTGATTGTTCAGATCACTTTGAACAAGTTCACCTTTTACAATCCTTCACTGTATTTTGCTAGTGAAAAATCCTCACCCATATTCCCCTGGGATGTATGTATGTATGTATGTATGTATGTGTGTATGTATGCATGTGTGTGTGGGTATATATATGCAGGCGTTTCCATATATATATATATATATAATATATACATATATGTGTGTGTGTGTCAGTAATGGCCATGAGATATTATAAAATTAAATGGTCAAGCATGGTGCAGTGGCACACCCCTGGAGATGTAGCTACTCAGGATGCTGGAGCAGGAGATTCATGAACCAAGGAGTTCAAGGTCAGCCTCAGCCACGTAGTAAGACCTAGTTTCTCAATAATAAAATGATAAAAAAATAAGCAATCTGTGACTCAGGTTTCTTGGTCTTCTTGTGAAATAATTCATACTGCTACATTCTAGGGCAGACCCCTATGGAATATGTAGTGGTTTTCACCTCTGTTACCTAAATTTGAGTACACACATGAGGAAAAGAGCCTCAATTCTTCTTGATTTATTGAAAAGCCCTGAGTCCATATAACTCTGTATGTTCATTATTTGTTTAACATACATTATTGAGGGATCAAATTCCACCTCCACCAGCTGCTGGATTTATAAATAAAAGGTAAAGAAAATGCAAAAGGAGAGTAAACTAAGCTGTCTTTTTCTTTTTTTTCATTTTTCTTCCCTTCCCCTTTTTCCTTCCCTTTTCTCTTCCCTTTCCCATCTTTTTAAAAAATTTCCTTACACAATAGGGATACCATAAAGCCTTGGTCAAACTAAAGCTGAAGAGAAATACTGTGGATGACATTTCAGAGAGTCTGCGGCAAGGGGGAGGCAAGTTAAACTTTGATGAACTTCGGCAAGATCTGAAAGGGTAAGAGTCGTACTTCCTGAGGCCTGGGAAGTTCCTGCTTCTGAAGATAAGTTATTGGTGACAAGTGTGTTTCTGGCCTAAGTACTCATAGAGAGACACTTTTCTTCAGGTATCTTTCCGGAATATGCTATTAGACTGGCCCCACCCAGTGCTTTCTCCCTTCTTCCGGCATTTTGATGTCCTTGAGCTTGGGTTGGACCACATACAGGATAAGTTCATCTGTCCCTCACACTCATTTCAGGAAAGGACACACTGATGCAGAGATTGAAGCAATATTCACCAAGTATGACCAAGATGGAGACCAAGAACTCACCGAACATGAGCATCAGCAGATGAGAGATGACTTGGAAAAAGAGAGGGTGGGTCTAATCTTGGGGTAGTTGATTTCATTCAGCACCTTCCATGTATCAGATCCTACACAGAGTGGTCGACTATTATCTGTCACTCTTTCTTTCAGTCAATCTATGTATTAGTACAAAGCTTATTATAAAAAAGATACCATAATTATATAAGATGAAATAAAATAGCATGAATGTTAGAAGGTCAAACTGAAAAGTGAAGCGAAACTGACATGAAAACATGTTGGATACAAAGCAACCCTGGGTCAGTGGCAGCAAACTTATGGTACACGTGCTACAGCCCAGTTTATTGTCCTTGAAAACTGTAAAAGGTTAGGCATCACTGCCCCAGACATACAGCACACACCCATTTCCTTCCAGCCCAAGACCTTGGTAACGTGTGTGAGGGGTCCTGTGTGCCTGCTCCTCACCTGATGACCCCATGTTCTTCAGGAGGACCTGGACTTGGAACACAGTTCTTTACCACGACCCATGAGCAGCCGAAGTTTCCCAAGGAGCCTGGATGACTCTGAGGAGGATGACGATGAAGACAGTGGGCACAGCTCCAGGAGGAGGGGAAGCATCTCCAGTGGGGTTTCTTATGAGGAGTTTCAAGTGTAAGTATGAAGGGACTGGCAAAATTTGGGTTGACCAGAGTCCATATATAACATAGCTACCCTCATTCGTTTCAGTTCACTCTTTTCCATCACCAGTCACCAATTCTTTCTTGTGACTTTATTTTTTCTCTTTATAAAAAATGTGATTATAAGAAAATTAGCAATTAAAGAAAAGCAAAGTAAAACATTAGTCTCCCATAGTCCTAGCAACTGCAATATCCGCTAATTTTTTTAGCTCTTTTGTGTGTTCATCAGTATTTCTATATGTTTTTATGGTTTCACATATGGTCCATCCTGGAGGATGACTTGAGAAAAATGTGTACACTTCTGCTGCTTAAGGAAGTATAGATGTTTCTTAGGTCCAGTTGCTTTATATTATTCATCTCATTTATTTTCCTGCTGATCTACCTGTTTGTTCTGTGTACTTTGGAAAGTGGGGTATTAAAAGTCTCTAATAAATTATCATTAAATTGCCCATTTATTCTTTCAAGTCTGTAAGATTTTACTTTGTGAACATTGGAACTCTCTGGTTATGTCTCTTCCTAATAGATTGATCCTGTTTTTAATTATAAGATGGTTCACCCTACCTCTAATAAAATGTGTTCTTTTAAAGTTTTGTCTCATATCACTGTAGCCACTCCAGCCTTAGGTTGCTATTCACGTACGATTTGTCATCCTTTCCTTTTCAGCCTATTTGTATTTCTGTATGTAATGTGTGTCTCATGTAAACAAGTGACTCAGCTTATCTTTTTATCCAGTTCGACAGTCTGCCATCGGTTTACATTTTTTTATCCATTTATATTTGGTGTTATTGATCCAGATTTACATCTATATTACCTTTTGCTTTCTATATATCTTGTGTTTCTCTTGTTCTTCTTCCGCCAGCTATTGTCAAATACATTACATCTCTGTATGTTATAAGCCCGACAGGTGAATTATGTACAGATCTTAAGCAATTTTTTGTTTTGTTGGTTTTTGTTTTCTGTGTGGGTTTTTTGTTTTGTATTGGGGATTGAACTCGGGACCTTGCACTTGTGAGGCAGGCAGTGGAACCAGTGAGCTAAATCCCTGGCCCTAGCAATTGTTTTTTTAAAACTAGTAAACAGAGAAAAAATAAATAGTATTTATAATATATTTTATACTTACATGATTACTTCTGTTCTGTTTTTTATAAGTATTCTAAATAGTTTCTGGGGACTTGCTTTCAGCCTAAAGATTTTCCTGTAGTATTTCATTTAAAGCAAGTCTGCTAGTGATGAATTCTCCCCATCTGGGTTCATCTGGACATCTTTGTCTTCACTGCCCCTGGCCTCCACTGTTTATGAATAGACAGCTGCTAATCTCACTGAGCATCTGTTGTACACGATAAGTCCATTTTCTCTTGCTGCTTTCAAATACTGTATTTTTTGTCTTTCAACATTTTCACTATGTATGTCTGGGTGGGCATTTCAAGTTTACCCTACTTTCAGTTCTATGAGTTTCTTGGATATATATTTTGTAGCAGGTTTTGGAGGTTTCCACATATTATTTCTGCAAATGCAGTAGTACATCAGTTTACAATTTGTTTTATGATTTTGGGAAAGATGGCTGTATTTGTGTTTGTGTTTGTCTGTGGTTGTATTTGTCAACACATGCAAAGTTTGAGTGGAAGCAAAATTTTGCCAAATACTTTTGTTTGTCAATCAAACTGCATACAGAAGCATTCATGAACTGAGGTATTGCTATATTTCTTAAATTCCATAGACTCTCTTCTTACTGACATTTAGTTGATTTTTTTTAAATAAGTGCTTTTTCATTGGCTGCATACCCTTAAGAAAATTTCTAGAGCACTTCAATGTGTGAATTTTTAAAAATAACTTTTCAGTTATAATTGTTTCACTGAGGAGTTAACCTATTGAACTCTGATGCCGCCATTCTAGATGTCTTCAGTTTATGGTTTAAAGGTATTTATATATTTTTATTCAACACAGAAATCATAAGTATTTTACTTACTATATAGTGAGCGCAGTTCTGTGTCATTGTCACAGTATAATTTCTGATGTTACTTATGAATTTCATTGTATAGATGAGTCATCAGTTTTTTAATATAGCAGTTTTTAGTGATGTACTATTAAAAAGCAACACTCTAGTTCATATCTTTGAAGTAAAAAATTGAAAATATAAAACTGCTTTAAATTTTTTTCTAAAAATAAAACAACTGAATAAAGTGGTAGACATAAATTTTTAAATCTCCAGATACAATTTGACTAGTGGAAAGATGCACCAATTAGCATAACACCCGCCCCATGGAAGAGTTTATCTTAACTTTGAGACCACTTAGAAAGTGTGGCAGGGCTGGGAGGTAGCAGAACATTTGTTTAGCATGTTTGAGGACCAGGGTTCCATTCCCCTCAGTGCAAAACAAAAGAAAGATTTTTATCATATCGTTGAAGAAAACAATTCTAACATTTCCATTTGAAGTGCCAGCTGGGCTGCAAAGACGATGACAGAGTCACTCCCCCTCTAAACTCTGATTTCCTGCAGCCTGGTGAGACGAGTGGATCGCATGGAGCATTCCATTGGCAGCATTGTGTCCAAGATTGATGCCGTTATTGTAAAACTGGAGATCATGGAGCGGGCCAAACTGAAGAGGCGGGAAGTGCTAGGGAGGCTGCTGGATGGAGTGGCTGAGGTAAGTGGTTGTGACCTGGAAAACACCTGACCAGAGAACAAGAATACTGTTGATGAAAGGACACATTCGTGACACTGCTTTCCAGTTGAAATATTGAAGAAGAGTAAAATACACAAACAAAAAAGAAAGATTACAGACATTCACAACATAATTTCCATCCATTTTCATTTTCAAATATTTTTCCCTTTGAAACAGAAACACTTCTTGATTCTGTAAACTATCAGGGTAGTTATATTCTGTAACTCTTACCCTGATGTGCTTTTCTTCCTAACTGCAAATCAGTGATTATCTGGAGATGTGACTATCTTAACCTTCTGCATACAGATGGCCCAGGCTTAACTAGAGAGTAGAATTCAGTGAACAGTTACTCCAGTGAGTCTGAAAATTGCTATTACAACGATACCTCAGTTCACGAGCTTAATTCATTCCACACTTCTGGTCACACACGAGATTGGACAAGAACCAAATCAAATTCAGTGGTTAGGTTCAGTGTAGGCCTTAAGGGGAAATTGGATTCAGTTCTTGTCCAATTCGGTTTGGGACCCAAATCACTGAAAGAATTAAGTTCATGAATCAAGGTACCACTGTATTTGCAATAACTCCCCAGCCTCACCTAACTATAAATAATTTGTGTCCCAGATTTCCTAAGGAAATTTTTGTATGTGCATCACCCCACAAGTAACACCTGCTTTCTTTTTGTCTTGTGAGGATGAAAGACTGGGTCGTGACAATGACATCCACAGGGAACAGATGGAGCGGCTAGTGCGGGAAGAGCTGGAGTGCTGGGAATCTGATGATGCAGCTTCCCAGCTCAGTCATGGTCTAGGCACACCAGCAGGACTCAGTGGTCAGCCTTGTCCTAGAAGTGCTCGCCCTTCCTCCTCCCAGTCTGCAGATGGCCTGGAAGGTGAAGGTGGAAACAGCAGTTCCAACATCCACGTGTAACCCTTGTGTCACTATGTGTCACCCAGCAGATGAGAAGGTGGCTATCACCAATTACCATAGTGATTTCACTATTTATATGCTCTAACTACTATATGTTGCTGGTCTGTGTGACCAATTATTAATCTTTTGCACTTTAATTTATTGTATATAAACTTTACCCATGGATCAAAGATTTTTTTCATTTTGTCATAGAATCAAGATGTAAATATTGAATTCAGGAAAAAGAAATCATTGAAAAGCAACTAGAGCAATATGCCCAGTTGCTATTTTGCCTGAGTCTGCTCTTTGGACTATGACATAGCCTTTTACAGCTGGAAAAGAACTGTCGAGGGGCTGCTGAGTTGCACTTTCAGCCACAAAACCAGTGTTGTCATTTCTGTTCAGTATATGAAGGGAAAGGAAGGCATCCTTGCCATTCATGAGCTAAATATATAGCTTTCCTGTAAGAAAGGAGGTTTAATTCAGCTACCTTCCTAGGGTGAACTTTTCTAAAACTCCAAGGCACAGAATGGGTGTGTAGCCATTATACTAACATCTGTGTATGAATGGTTAATGTAAATGTTAAGTACTATGTAATTTTTGTTATTTTCTCATATCTAATACCTACAGAACTAGCAAAATCACTTTTTATATTATTTTATCTTTCATTAGAAATAAGATGAGTAAAACCATTGGAGATCAATTACAAGATAAACACTGTCTCTTACTAAAATATAAAAGAAGTGAAGGAACCCTAGTTTGCTTCCAACTTTAACATTTTCAATAATTTGCTAGTATAAAATTATATTACTCATTTTTCCTTTGCTAGATGAAATACTGAACACTTAGAGGAGGAGACAGTTAATTTGGTGCAGAGTTGTAGAACTGGGTCCATGGTCTGCCGGCGCAAAGTTGCTCACTTCATGGTGGCCAGGAAGCACAGCTAGTTGGAAGAGGGCCAGAGAGGAAAGGGGTGGAACCAGATATGCTCCCCAAGGTAATACCCCTGTGACCAACCCAGACACCCAGTAAGTGCTTTACTAATCTGCTAGGAGCCTCTTAATCCAGTCAAGTTGATAATCAGGTTTAGTAGCGACAAAAATTTACCTGCATATTCTCTTTCCCATGTGTCTCAGTTCATCTGCAGCTGTTAATGTTATAACTAACCTAGTGGGACCAACTAAGTTTTTTAGTATGTACTCAAACTTTTAACTCAGTAAATATGTTCATATTAAGCAAAATTTTTAGCAAGTTTTAAAATTCATAAAGTGGGGTTTTTTTTTTTGTTTTTTGATACTGGGGATCGGACTCAGGAACTTGCACTTGTGAGGCAAGTGGTGGAACCACTGAGGTAAATCCCTGGCCCAAAAATTCATAAAGTTTTAATAAAACTAAAGTTTTCATTTTACACCAGCTCAAAACTACCATTCTGAAATATTTTGTGCCCTATATTTAAAAACTGGAATTGATAATATAAGTTTAATACAAAGGAGGATTTTGTATTTAAAATTCATTCATTATCACAGAGTTTTAGCCCAAGTTGTTTTTAGAAGAAAGTCTTAAAAAAAAAAAAAAAAAGACTCATCAAATTTATGGGGGAGGGGGATCTATTTCTCAATAAAAAAATAAAAAACTTATTTTTCAAAATAAAAATATTTTTTAAAGTGTTGAATAATGTGACCTTTAGAGAGGTTATGGGAGAAGCAAGAGACAGTGCAGTGTTGGTGAGAAATCTGCACCTGGGGAACCAGAAGAGAGTCCTGTTTCTTAATGCTGGCTCTTTAATTCCCAATTTGCTCACTCGGTGGTTAGAAAATGTCAGTCCAATTTCCAGTGAAAAGTTGAGTGGACCAGTCTTCCCGTGTTGGCTTCTAGGGGGGTGAAATATCCTGGCTTTCTCCAGTGTCATTCTCCAAGACTTCACCTTTATCTTTCATATGCTGCACACATTTCTTTATTCGTGGGTAATGATGTACTCTCTCCAGGGGAACTGGGTGTACACAGGGATGTGTGTGTGTGTATACCATGTTACTAAGTGTAAACAAGCTTCACTGTGAAGTGCATCCTCACTGTGTGGTGTCCACGTGTACTGACCATGTGCCATGTATCAATCATGGTCACAAGAAAGTCTTTATTATACTTGTTATTAGAGATGCGCTTTCATTTCACGTGTAAAATGTTGCCTAATTCTTCCCATGTACCTGTAAATTCCTCCGCTTCCATCGTGGGGAATTAGCTCCTCATCCCTTTTCCCACCATCTTGCCTTCTGCATTGATGTAATGAAGATATTACATATGTAAACCTTTCTAAACAGTCAAGAATTTCATAATTGTATAATATGAACACTGTTTTTAATAAAAGCTTGATGTGATAACAGATGTAAGAACTGTTTCCTATTAGTAAAAGAATAGACTTTGAAAACTGCAAGTTCTCTTTTTATATCAAAAAAGAACATAATTGCCATGTTTAATTGACATATAATTGACATTTATATATTTATTATACCAAATACATATTTCAAGTAACTAGCCTTTAAGCACAGGGCTGTCAACATGGTGTCTTATTGTTTTTGCCCTCGAATGGATAGCTTGAGACAAGGATTCTAGGACAGTGGTTTATTTAGGAGGTACAGGGAATAGGAGTAGTAGAGTGGAGGAAAACAGGTGTCTTAGTCATTTTACTATCTTGAGACAATACTAGACACCTACAATTTAAAGGGGAGTGATTTATTTTGGCTCCAGGTTTTTAGAGATTTCAATCCATAGTTGGCTGGCTCCATGGCAGAAATAGCATGGTGGTGGGCCTGGTGCAGATAAAAGCTGCTTACACCATGGCAGCCAGGAAGCTGAGAGACAAGAGAACTGCAGAGGGAAACAGACTCTTCCAGGTCACGCCCCAATGACTCGCTTCTAGTCAGGCCCAACCTCCTAATAGCAAGTCAACTTTGAACACATCAGTGCATGAAGGTGCAGATAGGTATAGCACCCCCATGATCCAGTCACCTTCCAAACACTGGTTTTGGAGGACACCCAGATATAAACCCTAGTAACAGAAAGGCAAGGTGTTGATGAAGGGTATATTCTCAAGCTGGGTCACACTTCTGAAGTCTTACTCCTTTGGTGAAACTGGGAAACAACACAGATTCAGTTTTGTACCACGTGTTAGTCTGCCATTTGTTACTGTGTAAAAACAAACAAACAAACAAACAAACAAACATGAGAATAACAGCTTACAGGAGGATCAGTTCATTTTGTCTCCAGGGTTCAAAGGCTTCAGTCCATAGTTGTCCTGCTTGTTTCTGGTGTTGTGGGTGAGGCAGAACTAACTTCATGGCAGTCAGGAAGGAAGGAGAAGGAAAGGAAGAAAAGGGGTGGGGAGGGAGTAAGGGGGTGGGGGCCAGGGACAACTATGGTCCTGAAGGCCATGATCCACAACGCTGTCCAACTAACTCCCACCTAGTAAGTTTCCTCACCTCACAGCAAAGACATCAAATAATAAATCCATGAATGGGCTGATCCACTGATGAAGGCAAGCCAGTCATTTTCCAAGAGTCCCACCTCTGAACATTGCTGCCTCGGGAACCAAGCCTCCAGCACATCCGACTTTGAGAGACATTTCCTATCATAACCGAAAAAATAGGATTTTGGTTGGAAAGCCTCTCTGGGAGGATGGTAGTAATTCCTTAGAAGTTCTGATACAGACCAGCCCTGATTGGCTTCTGAGCAAGGAAAGAGCTGCAGACCCTGGTAGGTAAACAGGTAGATATAGAATGGAGTCCTGTGGCACAAAGGATTTGGACAGGTGCTCAAGGTAAGTATACCTGGAAATGTAATAATAGATTAATCGCTATAAACATATGGCCTTGATGCAAACTGGCAAACAATTCTCCAAAATGTTTGAAATAATACAAGAACCAAAGTTATATGAAGTGTCCTTCCACCTACCAGAGTCCTCTGCTATGACGTTCTGGCTCACCAAGGCATGAGCACTGGAGCCAGTGACCACGGACTAAAAGCCTTGGAACCACGAGCCAAAATAGACCTTTCCTCATGTAAACTGATGTTTGCTTGTAATAGCAAAGGAGCTCAAACACCACATAACGCTGTGATTTAGAATGGGCTCAGCTGAGTTTCATAAACTACCTTGTAAACTGTAACAACCTACCACAGTGAATTCTATAGTCTAAACACGCTGAACAGCCACAAAACTCTGATCAGCACTTTTGGGGTCTAGATTCCACAACTAATTCTTTATGACACATTTCTTATTTATAAGATGGTATGTTTAAGTCATCAGTGTATTGGCAGAAAAGATATTTCTGGTGTGTGTGTGTGTGTGTTTGTGGGCACACACGGTGCATGTCTTTATCAGTGATGTACGTGGAAACTCTGAAACAGTGACCCTGAGATAAAATCTGAGCATAATGTACAAATGAATCTGCCTATGTCCATCAGACAAAATGATTAAAACAATATACCCTCAGAGTCCCCTACTCCCTCTCGGACTGGAGGAGAGAGAACGTTGAGGTTTGGATCTGCAGGGTCCCCACAAAGCCTCATGCTCTCAGAAGCAGAGCTTGTGGAAGGCGGTAGTTTATGGGGTACTACAGCTGACTTGCTTTTGGGAGGTGGGATCTGGTTAGAGAAGATCCCTGGAGGCATGAACAGGAAGTGTGCATATCTCTCCCTAGCTCTTCCCTTCTCTTGCTGCTCCTGGGCCCCCATGACATAAGCAGCTTTTCCCTTTTGCCTGTCTCTATGGATACCAGAGCTATTATCTACCTATCTATATTTTGCCTATATAGAGATATGTATAGACATATGGACCACCATGTAGAGAGGTAATATTCAGACTCCTCGAGTACATTCTCAAACAGTTTTATAAATTCTCTCCACTTTTGTGTATGACACACAGCATCTCTTACTAAAAAGCAGTTTTAACAGTTTGGTTGGAAAGACATCTTGGGGAAAATGCGCACATTGCACAGGAATTAGAAAAATCATACAAGGGACATCCGCTTCCCCAGCTCATGGCTTCCCCAGCTCCAGGTGTAGTTTATGCCTCTGAGAAACTTACAAATGCTCACCACGAGAAAATGGCTTCACCTCACTGCCAGGACTAAAGACACAGCCTTTCTGCCTTGCTACTCACTCATCAAGAAGTACAGAAATGCAGGTAAATATAAGATGCGACCCCCTGGGTATAAACTCAGATGACAATTTTCCAAGGAACTAAGGTGGCACCTAGAGTGCCCACTGTTGTGCTTGTGTCTGTAGGAGAAAAACACATCCTACCTCCCAGGTTAGTTAGAAGGCAAGAAACGAGGAGATGCAACCTGCTCTACACTTCCGCTGCCACCAGGGACCTAACCTGACAACTTCTCTTATCCTCCAGGCTTCTGTGAATATTTCATTCATCTTTAGAATTTAACTACATATTCAAAACTAGGTGTTCACTCTGCTCAGCCTCCCAGTGTGTGGGAGACGACTGCTCTCCAGAATGGGCTTTGCGGGGAGATGGTGATGGAAATGTGATGCTTGCACAATGCTGAATACAATAGGAAATACAGAATTGTGCACTTGGAGTTACACAGTATGTGAATTACACTTAAAGCCATTACTGAAGAAAATAGGCCCAAATTATGTAGACCATCATAATTTGGTTCATTTGCTGAGGTGAGCTGAGTACTAATTTTTGAAGAAAATCTTTAGTTTCCTGAAATCCTCTAGAAACTCTAGATATAGCTAGAGTGACCGCTGGATTCTTCAATTTCCTTAAAATACTCCAATCCAAATTTATTGCCTTAGGAGCCAACAAACTACAAACCACACCACTGGATATCTTCCTCATCTGCCATCAAACTCCTGTAAGAACTGTAGACAAAATGTCTAATCTGATCATGAGACACTGTAGGTACCCAATGACCTGTCACACCACACATATGTTCAACTACTGTGTCAATTAAAAACTAAAACATATTAAAACCCTTCACAGAAATACTTTAAATGTGTTTAAAGAACATCCACGTATACTTCCATAAAATCTAGGTTTATACAGTAATAAGACCCCATCATAAAACAGAACCACGTGGGGCCACAGGATCTTAGCGTCCAGGTAAGGACAATGACAGCTACACAAGCCATCTCAGAAAACACACAGAAATCATGCACTGATGGGTGTGTTATAGTGGCACTGATGATGCCCTCTCATTGTCACTCTTCAGGGTCCTCCGAACCCCTGTGTGACACATACACACAGACACTTCCCTCAAGGTAAATGCCAGGAAAACCTTATTTGAAGAGCAACCTGCTTTTCCCTTTATTGTCACTGACCTGGTACTTATCTCGTTACCTTGTCTCTAGGATGCAACTTTCTTCAGTGCAGAGAACCGTTCAGTCCACATGTCCATTCCAATGTGTTCCTCATGGTGACTTTCCATTACAGGTTGTATTTCCTTTTCCTTTTATCATACTTATGCTCATGTCAAATGCTTCAGGAATGCTTAATGAAAGCTCTGCAGAAACAGATTTTTTGCATGAGTGTGTGTGTGTGTGTGTGTGTGTGTGCATGTGTTTTAAACATTCTGATACAAAAGATTGTTGATCCACCCCCTCAAAAGGCTGCCCAAAACACCATTTTAAAAAGCCTCTTAGAGGGCCCAACATTTAGCTCAGTGGTACCCCCACCTGCCTTGCAATCCCAAGGTCCTGAGTTCAATCCCCAGTACAAAAGAAAAAGGCTCTTAGCCCACAGCAGACTTCTTCTCTGTTCTACTCGCACAAAGAAGTCCCTCTCAGGTTTAGCAATAAACCCCTTTGGACTGTTAACTTTGAGTCCCTTCTTTGTCACTCAATACGTACATAAGAGCAATTACATTTCTATTATTACCACTGCCCAACAACTGATCCCAGATCAGTGGTCCAAATCATCCTGTGAAATCCTGTCTGATTTGTGAGCTTCTCTTTCATACTCACTTTCAAATGAGACTACAAAGGTGACAAACTCAGTTGCCTCTGTTACGCAGTGCACTATTTTCTAAAATGTACAAACAACCTGCTAACCTTTCCTGCCACACACTCCCAGAATTTACTCACCAGAATTCACAGCATTTAGGTGACCAAAGGCTTGGGTCTCAGACATCAGCTCAGAGGTACAGAGTCCTGAGCACAGAGCTGAGATGGATCAGTCAGGCCTTGCAAACCTCCCACACAGGGCCGCTCAGCAATGAGATCAAGTGCCTGTGTTGGTATTATTAGCATTTTTCTTCTTGAGAAGGGGTCTCACTCTGTTGCCCAGGCTCAGTGGAACTGGACTCCAGGGATCCTCTTGCCTCAGTCTCCCCTGTGGCTGGGTCTACAAGTATGGCCACACGCCTGGCCCATCCAGTCCCGCGCAACCCTATGTGCTTTCCTCAAATGGCCCCGCTCCATCCCGGCTTGTCCTCCCCCCATCTTCCTGTCTTTCCTCACCTGGGCCCAGTCTGCAGAATGCAGGACATGGCCTGTGGCAGCCCTTTCATGAACACCCGGCCTGTTCCCCTGCCCGCCGCAATCGCCTTAGGCTAGGACCTGGGACTGAGACCAAAAGGGGCTGCAGGTGGTGGCGAGCAGGTCTGGCGATGACACGATGTGATGTGCAAGGTGTAAGGCTCCAGCCCAGGCGCCCCACATAGGGTGGACAGTGCCTGTCCCTGAACCTGTCCCTGTCCCAGGGAGGGGCACAACGATAAGCACCCCAGTTGGGGTACCAGCGCTGGCAACCAGACCAGCTGCCACCCACCAGTAGAGTCAGGTCACCAAGAAGCCTGTCCTGGAGTCCCTGGGAGGAACCCAAAACTCTTGCTTGCTGCACATTTTCCCAAAGCGACAGCAGCAATAGCGCTGGGCGCATGGGCATGTGCTGGCTGGGGGACCCTGCATTCCAGCAGGCTCCATCTTGGCTGCCCAGGAGCTGGCACTAGGGACCCTGCGGCTGAGGTCCTGGCCACATTTGGCTTCTGCATAAAACTCCAGAAGTTAAAAGGCTTTGCCAGAGCCAGGAAGCCAGGACCCAAATCTGGGCTGGAGACCCCAGGGTAGAGCCATAAGGGGCCCAGTAGCATGGTGCTCAGCATTGCTCTGAGCTGTGCTGGGGCCGAGGACACACGGAAAAGTGACCAGGGACAGGCAGGGGGGTCAGGGCCTCTTCGTTGTGTCACCACGCTATATCCCTGCTGCCTGTGGCCTCGGAAATCAGGGCCTGCATGAAGATGCTGCTTGGTTTACATTTACACACAGAAACTGTAACACCACTAACTGCTCAAGGGCACACTGGGAATTACTGGGAATTCTTCCCCCAGTACAGGACAGTGTCAGACCAGAAGCCCAAATCAGAAAATTGCTGTACATAATGTTTGAGAACACAAAAATACTCTCTACTTTTAAAGAACTAAAGTATGTCTCCATGATGCACACAATTACTGGGAAAAAATGTTCTTTTGGACTCTTTCCTGTCAATTCAAAGACTCTTAAAGACTTATATGGAAATACCTGTTATTCCTTCTTCATTTTAAGCCACAGTGAGGATAATGACTTTAGACCTGTCTCTTAGAACTAGCATCATACCTGCAGTTTCTGAAGTCAGTTTCTCCAAGGTGCAGCATTGGTTCTTCTGATGCCAAAGGTCACCCATATGATATTAAATTAAAATAAAAATGGATCTGGGAAGGGTAGGGGAAAGGAAATACGTGAGAAGAAAAAACATAGAAAAAGGAAAAATTGGAAACGAAGTCTTTGTAAATAGGGGAGGTTGGGGGGGTGAAGGGAGGGCAGGGATATGGGGAAAAAATGAGAACCAAGACCTATCATGTAAAGGTACAAGATCCCAATGATGAATGTAACAGTACTGTATACTTAAAAAGTACCAATAAACCCTGTGAAAAAATAGATCAAAGATCAAAACATTAAGATAGAAACATTAAACATTCTAGAAGAGAAAATAGGTAAAATATTTGACATAGGAGTAGGAAAGCGTTTTCTAAACAGAACCTTAATCACACAGGAAAAAGCAGCAAGAATCAATAAATAGGATTATATCTGACTAAAAAGCTTCTGTACAGCAAAGTATCAACTAGTAAAGAGACAACCTACAGAATGGGAAAATAATTTTTTGCCATCCTCTCCTCAGACAGAGGACTAATTTCTTACCTAAAGGGAAGGCACTTGTCACAGCTATGAGCTACCTCTCTGTGCAGAGGGAAGGGCTGCTACTCCATTGTCTTTTCATAGGTTACACCAAATCCCTAGTCTGTTCTTTCCTTGGTCCATAAAACTGCTCCTATGTGTGGGCATCCCTAGACCTGCACTCTCCAGGGACTGTTAGATCAGGGTGGCTGGAACAAACTTGTCCCATTGTCTGAATATAATCATGAATGTGTTCTTGGGTGTTAGCAGGAATTACAGTGCCTGAGCTTAAGATTGAAACCACTTTGGGGGCGACATTAGGATTGTGTAGTTGTCTATTAATATAACTTGATGCTGCACCAGTCTCCCAGTGAGAAGACAATCCCTGCCCCTCTGCTCAGTAAGAGGAGGGCACACTGGGAAGTGTGTGAAGGATGGACAGACCCAGCACAGGGTGAACTTTCCTGCCTGTAATAGCCAATCACAAGTGGCTATTAGCACACTCACACGTGCAGGCAAGGGACATCCCTTAGTCATTTACTATTTGGAAAAAGAGGCAACTGTCTTCTACTACCTAGATTTCAGGTTAGTATTCCCAGAGCACTCATGGACAGACAGGTCAACGTGCTTTCTAATATCTAGATGTGGAGCAGAGGCAGTGAGCTACTCTCCCTTAATGATTGGGAAGGATGAGCTAATCCAAGCAAGGGGCTCTATTTCCTCCCATCTAGGAAAAAAAGAAAGGTAAGACATCAAGATATTCATTTTAGTCTTATGAAGAATGTAAACCAAATTTTTCAGGTGAAGCTGTTCTCAAGGTAGCATGGTTAAAGAAAATCCTCTTTTGCTTTTTTTTCATCCTTTTCAGATGAGTTTAGGAGTTAACTCTTAGATGTTTGCATGACATATTAACCCTATCATTGCCATTTGGTTTTGGTTTTTGATGTTTTTGTTTTGTTTTTGAGACAGGGTCTCACTGTGTAGTTAAGGCAGGCTTTGAACTTACTATGTAGCCCAGGTATTAAATTAGGTTCACAAATATAGGGAATGGGGAAGAGGGCATTCCCAGAGCCCCTACAATGGGTTCTAACCTCCTGTGGGCTCCTACAGCACAAGGCTAAAGGATAAAGACAGGAAATGAAGCTTAAGAGAAGCCGGGTCTTGGGGCCTGATCAATGCTGCTCTGAGCAACAAAGACAGAGGCCCCCAACCCCATCCAGTATTTACTGAATATAATCATGAGAAGGAACGGGGAGCCAGGTATGCTTTGAAGGCATCTAGTGAAATACTGCTGAACATCTGGCATGATGGTGCCAGGCAGGGCTATTAGGGAGTAAGCACTGCTTATGTTGCTTGGATAGAACAGGTACTGGAACAGGGTACAATTAGCAAGCAACCCATTGGCGCAGTGAGAAGCCATAATTTGGAGGAAAGGATTTTAATTGGGATCATGCTCACTTCTGCTGCAAATAACTCAGCAGAGCCCTGCCACTTCACAGACCAGGATTTCGGCCTCATTGACAGCCATTAGCAAAGAATCAATACTAGCTCAACTCTGCTCCCTGATAGGCCCATGTGAATCATGTAGGGTTTCACTCTGACTCTTGATACAAAAAACATAGCTGAGTTAAGGGAAGCAAGAAGTGTGTGCCATTCATAGCCTGCTACTACTGGGCAGGGATGTCTGCTAAACACAAACCCATGGATGAATGTACCAAAGGTCAAAGGATGCTACACTGAGCTCAACAATGCTAAAATGTGCAGGAGAATCCTTGCCCAAAGAACAGAGTGGCTGTGTGAACCCCCACTAAGGATAATTCCTAAAATTACAACAACAGTTTTCCTTGACAGTTCTGAATTAACTTCTCCCCGGTGCTCTATCCACAACCCAATTTCAGGTCATTTCTCTCCTAAAATTAAAGAATATTAGAGCTACACAATACTACAAAAAAAAATTTCTTTGCTTTTCATTATTTCATAGCTGAAAGTCACGCAATTTTGAAGAATGACAATGGGATGAATGAGGGGATCAAATTAACGTTTTCCACTGTTTTTCCAGAAATTAGTTAAAGTTGGGCAGAATTACATACTTATTTGCAATGTGAGTAGAAACAGACCTTAGGACCCTTCGAATGAAGGCCAAACTAGACCAGAGATTATTGGCAGTCCAAATCATATATCAGCAAACCAAAATTAGACCAAACCAAGGAATCGTTTTGGAAGTCAAAAGAGAGTTATTGCCAAAATTCTTTAATCCTTCCCTAAACTAGGATCCATACAGTGGATATCTTTTTTTGACCCTTTGCATCTCACACTTGGTGTCTATCTGTGTCTCTGAAAGATTTCTTTTTTTGACCCTTTGCATCTCCCGACTCTGAAAAGTGATTTTGCCCCTCCCCTCCCAGGTGGGCCAGAACCAAAGGGAGGGGAGGGGTGGCTTTGAGAGGGAGCATCAAAGGCTCACGGGGAAGTGTGTGACCAGTGCTTCTCCAAGACAGAAAGCATAATGGGGGACCCCGAGGATCCTGTGGCACTGGGGAACCGAGCCTGGGACGCCCTCCAGGGCCTCTTCTTCGGGTGCTCCCACTCAGCAGCCCCCTCCACCCCCAAGCCGGCTCAGAGGTGGTCCGCTCCTGTTGCCAGGTGCTGGACCAAACACCCAGCATTCTAGACCAGTACTCTGCGCTGGAGGCAACTGCCCAAACCGCCTTGGCCATGGAAGCTCCAGCCACTGTGGGTCTTTTGGCCCTTATCTTGCTTCTGTGGAGGACTTTTTGCTCCATTAGAAGTCGGCTTGCAGAGAGGAGAGAAAAGCAGCTCTCTCTCCAGCTGGCGGGACTCATTCAAGAAAAATGCCAACTCCTAGACAAGGTCAGCCAACTTCAAAAGGAGCACGAAGCCTTGAAGGCAGCTCTCGAGGAGGCCCGCCTGGAGAAGGAGGCCAGCGAAGCACAGCACTGGGCGGCGGCCTTCCAGCAGGTGTCCGGGGAAAGAGCCAAACTCCGAGGGCAGATATGCTTTCTCCTCAGAGAGCTCAAAGAAGAGCAGTCCCGACGGGTCCTCCAACAACAATGGAGGATGGCCGAGATTTCCAACAGAATCTGGGCGCTAGCAGAGGACTCGGAATCGCTTACATCTCAAGTAGCCAGAGCCAAGCGGGCCATAAGCCAAGTGAGGAGAGACGGAGTCCAGGTTCAGTGAGGGGAGACGCCTATGTCCCCACCCAGCACCCTCGAAACCTTCGCCCCGGCGAAGGCCAAAGCACCCTGTTGGAGGACAGCTCCATTCCCTCCCTACTGGTTCTCTTTCTGTTACACTTAAACACAGAAAACAAACCCTGAAACCCACTTCCCCAATCCCAGCCACCTTTGCTCCTATTACATTTAAGTATTTAATGTTATGACTGTTTTTGTTTTATTTCCACAGCTAATTATTTACTTTTATTATATTAAGTAAGTTGCTGTAGAGTTCGTGGTTTATAAACTATCATTTCTCAATTCAATACCAATGCTTTCTTACATAACCAATATGAACAGCTCACTTATTCTCCATCTTTATCCAGGCGTAATCTTACAAAACATCAGTTTTCTTTCTCATGTAAGAAACTTACGGATCCCACTGTCCCCGGTGTAAATGGAGAAGGAGCAGTCTCCTTCCATGTCTCAGGACAATTTTATTCTCCCTCTGTAGCCCCACACCTCGTGCAGTACAGTAACTCCTGTTCAGGTGCGCGTGCATCTGCCCCTGACCTCCAGAGTGCTAGGGCCAGGGCTCTGTGACCACAAAGGGCCACATGTGCAGGGCCATCAAGGGAGGCCGGAGCCTGACTGCACAAAGGCAGGAGGGAATAAAAAGACATCCTGTCCTTTCCTTAGCACTGGGGGGAGGGAAGGACTCAAGATCTCCCCTGAACCGTAACTGCCAGCTGGCTTCACGTGACCTGGAGCTCCAAATTCACACCACCTGATGAAAAAGCAAACCCAAACCAAACCCGGAGGTGATAACCGACTTTGTGTCCTAACTGGAACTGCCCTTCTGACCTTACAGCAAAACCTAGGGGGGAAAAAGCCAAAGAATATAAGGAGTTTACATTCAAGATTTAGAGCAAATAGAGAACTAAGACACCAGAAATGAGAACAGGGAAAATCAAAATAACACACATTGAGAACATGGCGAATGTTAAGTGCTACGAGCAATACCATTGGAGAAAAGTTTTAAGCCTACACAGAAGCTGGAAGTACACATTAATATCTGAGGACATTTGAAGAAAATCATAAGAACTTTTTAAAAATGAAAAACATAAACTTTCACTGGTGGGATTAAGTAGCAGATTAGAAACACAGACAGAATCAAGGACTGAAGAGATAGCTTCATAAATGGGCCACAGTGAGGCTGACTGCGGCAACAGAGAAATAATGAAATAGAGGTCAGGAGACAGAGAGCCTGATGCCAATGTCTCATCCATAAGCAAGTGAAGTAAAGAAAGAAAGCAGTAGGCTGAGAAAGAATAAGAGTAATCATGGCAGAG